GAGAGAGAGAGAGAGAGAGAGAGAGGGGGGGGGGGCGGTATGATCGGGGACATAAATTTCCGGGCTGAAAAAGATGTCTCTTGGGGGTAAGGGGGGTCCGGCGGGTGCGGTCAAGGTGCCTAATTCTGTCCGGAGCTGTCCGGAGAAGAGGGATGGCGGGAACCCTGAGGGGGGGGGGTGGTGACGCGAATTATAGTGATGGGGGGACTCACTGTTTCGTACGTTGTCGGACAGTGGGCATCTGACCTATCAACCCTTGCAGGCTGAAGCAAACGGGGAGGCTGTTGCATGCGAGGTACGAGACGGGAGTCGCGAGTTGTGATGGCTGCAACTCGCGGCGGAGGAAAGTAGTTGGGACGGGGGAGACCAATGGGCAGGGAAAGGGCGCGGAATACTGCGATTTGCGAGGGGGATGCGAAGAAGAATGCCTAGTGCCGCATCTCCCACATCGTAGGGGAGGCCATCGTAGTGGTTTTAGCGGGTTAACTTGGCACCGGCTCTTCCCCCGAAGAGTCGGGTATCCGAAGAGATTTCCACTACGTAATAAAAAAAAAGAGGTTAAGAAAGTGTAAAGTGCGAAGATGTAAAGTTTGTAACCCTAAAGGGACCCAGTAAAGTTTGTACGTACATACAGTGAATACTCATTGTTTCACTGCTGCAAGTATACCACTGAGACTTTCACCGTGAATTAGAGACTATTCACCGAGGGGTAAACCGCTGATTTGGAGGACGATCCGGCCTCGGGTGGCCCTCGGTAGGCGGCAGGAGTTTTTGATTGACTTTCAGAGAGTACGAGTATATTTTATTTCTTACTCCTACATTTATATGCTTACTTTCGGCGAATCAGAGCGCGATCGGCCGGTGCTACGGTTTTAGTCACGACAGAAATCACGACTGTATCTTAGCTTTCTTGCACCAAAAAGTAAAGATTTTGGTTCACTCCTACTCCCTACTCCATGTACCGCGGATCAGGCCTAAGCGCGCGATGATTTGTCTCGCTGCTGGTGAATACGTGCTAGGCGAATTGAAATAATTTACCGTATTTCGCGCGTAATTTACACGGAGTGTGCGGATGCGCGTGACACGCGTGTAGACATCTTTCCGGTACATCGCGCGGCAGATGCGCGCGATAGAGGGTTATTCGTCACGGCGAAATAGACGCGGGGATGCTAATAATCTGACGCCGCTAACTGATGGAGTTTAGCGTTTGCGAGCGGAGCGAGCGCAGGGCGGATCTGACGTTCCCTATCTTCCGGGACGACCCCCGCGCTGCAGTAGACCGCGCGGACGATCGCATGGCGGATCGCAGTTAATAATGATATCGCGGGGGGAGGGCGGGAGTACGGCAGATAAAGCCGTCCGACCGGAAAGCTACGTGCCTTCTTGCAGAAGGAAAGCAGATAACACTGACGAGGCTGCGGGGGGGTTCAAAACACGCGACGGCTGCCAACGGAATATCCGCTCGATAGCGGTGCAACGTTTCGAGAAATCCAGGGCGGAAACGTATTTATCGAAGAAAACGTATCTCGAGAGCATCAGCGTGAAACTCCTCAAGGATAAACAACGGGCGCGGGGGGTTAAGTAGGTTCCGTCGCTTCGCGGAATAGTGTCAAATTTTACAGACGTAACTGTGCTAATAAACGCCAAAGATACTCGGGGTTTATAGGCGTAGAACTGAGAAGAGCGTAGCGCGGCGCGTCTTTAGATATTATACTTCACTGTCGCACGTAAAAGTCGCGTATGTAAATTGTAAAGTCAGCTATCAGCTGTTAAGTTTGTAGCGGCCCGCGAGTCATTTATACGTTGTTACTTCTAACTACCGCGCGTGGTAAAATTGACTTTAACACAAGTTGTAGTTAAGCAGAATAACTGCGTCTTTTATTCATTCCGTTTTAAGGTTTCTTTAAACTCCATTGTTTAATTAAATTAACGATGCTGAGTGGGTGTAGCGGCGACTCTCCACTCATTGAGTTAAATTTAACATTACAGATTTAACAGCGTAAGCGTCGTGCTATATTTACGAAAACGCTACCCTCGTTCTAAATAAAAGCGGGGCATTTAGAAAGGTGGACATTTTCTACAATTTCCAGTCCTTTTTATATTTATACAATTTCCAGTCCTTTTTATATACTTATTAGCCGCCCACGAGCACTTTAGAATTGCTGCTTTACACGCTGTCAGCTAAGTCTGCCAGAAACTCGTCAAATGCGCGTCGCTTGCCTCGCGTTCCCTGTTCCTCCGTGCCGCCGCGCGGAGGAAAATCATAATACGTATTCCCTTTGCGAAGGTGACGTCGCGTAGCGAAAGTGCTCTCGAAAACAAAGACGCCTTCGATGCGTTTCGCGTGCAAGTGCCACTCACGATCCGCGAGAAGTTCTCTCGTTTCGTATTCCTACGAAATAGCCTTTTCCCGACGACGAAAATCATTTTCTTGCGCGCGAAATAGCCTGCTCCAACGGGCGTGCTTCCGTGTTTCGCGCCGGAAGAAAGCTCGTAGAAAGAAAGAGAGGGAGAGGGCGAGATGGAGAGACAGGTGGTGAGGATACTAAGGATACAGTTTGAAGTAAACAACAATGGAACGGGGTTGCTGGTCCGGTCGACTTCGTGGATGAAGCTTTCGTCTCGCTGATTGTCTTTTATCGCTGTTCCCTCGTTGCAAACTTTAGCAATCTTTTCGCGGTCACGGTACTTTCTCCGCATTTTCGACGGGAGTTAAGGGGCGGGAGGGGGGCGGTAAAGGACGAGCGGGGCGGCTGAGCGGGCTCCCGTCCCTGTGCGCGCGCCCCAACGAACTGAGAAGAAATGGAATTTCGTCGCGCTCTCCCGCTGCGGGGAATTTGTTCGTAAA